TTAATTTCCTCATAACACCAAGAATAAAAATAGTGTGGTAGACTAAAGCTGGAAATCCCCTCCTGCACCAAATTTTTTTTCTTTTTTCTTTTTCTTTTTTTTTCTTTTTTTTTTTTTTTGGAAATTGTCACATATTAAGAAATCTAATTCCTTGTAATTCAAACATGTTCTAATTCTGGCTCCTGGAACCAGGAAACCAATTTTAGCCTACCTTCCCATAACAACCTTTGAATGTGTATAGAAAATCCTCAGTGCAAACCGCTATGAGGTACAAGAGTCTTTCTTCTAGCCTTCTCTTTCTTTCCCCTCCTTCTCTGAGCTTCCTTTGCAAGTTTTCTCAACTATTCTCATATCCTAACATGATATCTTTCTGCCTTCCCTCCACTGTCTGATCCACTCATGCATTTTTGGAGTGGTATAGAACTTGTGTGAATGTGTAAGTTAGTGTCGCCCTAAATTGCAATACATTTTTACATGGTAAGAAATAGCATACATTTGAATTTGTGTGTTTATATAAATTTTGATAAATAAGCATTAAAGATATTTGAAAGTTTCAAGTATTACACAAGAACAAATGGGTGAATAAACCAATAAACATCTTAAATAAAATCCAAACAAATCTGAACTCTTTACAGCACAAAGCTGTGTGTGGCCTCCTCCCACCTCCCTCTTCTGGCTTGCTTCTTTCTGTGTTCTTACTTATACACTGAGTGTAGTCAGGTGGGTCTCTGTACAGTTCCCAAGCTTGGTAAACACCCACCACCTCCAGTCCTTTGCAGTTGTTCCCCCCTCTGTATGAATCATTCATTCCCCAGTTCTGACACCTACTTCTGCTGAGATTTTCAAATCCCAGCTTAAATGTCACTTCTTGAAAGACACTCACCTGATCTTCCCATTGAAAATAAGACCCTTTAACTTCTTACAGCACACCACTGTTTATTTTATTAATGATTATAAAAAATAACTGACAATATTGTTTATTTATTTTTATTTAGTTATTTGGATGTCTAATTGGCTGTTTAAACTTCTGTCTCCCCTGCTAGAACATGTCCTCTGTGGGTACAAATACTGTTAGTTTTTTTCAATGTTGCATTACAGCCCAACCAAAAAATACAGGCAGAGAGAGAAGCCACGCTTATGGATTGTACTCAGTATCATTATGAGGTTCATCCCCTTAGAATTGATCTATAGATTCAACTAAGTCCCTATCAATATCTCAACAGAATTTTTTTTTAGATATTGACAAGCTGATTTGAATATTTAGATGGATCAGTCAACATATTCTCATGTATGTTTTAATTCATCATTGGCACATACTATTTACATATGTTTATGGGGTACAATGTGCTAAATCAATGCATGTATTGAGATAATTACTCTATCCATCACTTTAAACATTATCACTTATTTGTGGTGACAACATTCAAAATGTTCTTTTGTAGACCTCTTGAAATTACAATACATTGTCATTCGCTGTTGTCACCCTATTAATAGGATACCAAAACTTATTCTCTCTAACTGTAATTTTTACCCACAGTCAAAATAATTTTGAAAAAGCAATCAAGGTTGAAAGCTTCACTCTACCTTCCATCAACATGTACTATAAACAAGACCCTGCTCTAAACAAGACTACCTAGTATTAATGAAAGAGTGAACAGTAAGTAGAAGTCGGAGGAATAAATCAACCTTAGCTCCACTAACATAGTAGTTGCCCAGATTTCCAGGAAGGACACAGATACTAAAGTCAGTGAAAATTCTGATGGAAAGGACACAAAAAATTGCTTTATTGATAAGATATCATTTGTTTATTGAAAAATACCATTTTCTCTAACTACAGGGTATTTATGCTTATGATTGAAAATTCGTTTATTGAAAAGATATCATTTTCTCTAACTACAGAGTATTTATGCTTATGATTCATACAAAACTGAAGAATAAGAGAACCAATAATTTTCGTTTTGAATATAATAAGAGTAAAATCTTCTGGAGCCTTTATATATTCTCAGTCTCAAACAAACAAGTTCTTTGAAGCACACCAAGATAACATTATAGGCATGCCTTATATAGGCATCCTCTGGGTGGAAATATTAATCTTAAAATATAATTGTAGAAGCTTGTTCTAGGATGATGTTCTAGCAGCAAGAGGAAGGCATCTTTTGTAGCAAAATGGTTGCTAGATACAGCAGCCATGCCTTAATTTGGCTAGCTTGCTAATTACTAAACATTTCATAAGTGATTTAATAGGAGCCCAATGTTGCCCTAAATACAGAAACTCTTCAGTACTTCACGTTATAGAGTTCCTATGAATCCAAATACCCATGAATATAATATTCTGATACTATGGTCTCTCCTGTGGCCATCCCTCAATACATGCTTATCAACTGTAGTGTCCATTTAGTTCATTCAATAGTTGTTAAATGTTTTATAAATTATAAATCCCTTCAGATATTTTTATCTATTTGATCCCAATGAAAATATGAAAGAGGTAGGTAACTTATGATAAATTGAAGTACAAAAAGAGGTTAAGAAACTTACTGAAGTCAGGCAGCTTATATATTACCAAGTCCAAGTATTTCTTCTTCTTTGTTATGCTACATAAAATTTCCCTTACTGTTAACAGGAACCTCATTATTCCTTATAATGATCCATTGCACTGTGTAATTATTCTGTTATAAACCCCACGTGCCTTATGATCTGCCATTATTCCCACTATCACTTGGGGATCCTAGATAAAATCTATTCAAATATTTTGTTCCCAAGCCACTCCCATCAAGTATGCTAATAGTTCCTCTCACTCTTTCATTCTGTCTCCAGAATGGTGTTTCCTTGAAACCCATTGTTACAACTGGCTTCCTAATCTCTACTATGTGCAGATATATTATCCTGGCTGTCCAAGACAACCACATCTCTTACTAGATAGTATATAAGACAGAAGAGGAAGTCTATTTTAATACTTTTTTATTAGTGCATAATAAATTAGCACAAGAGTAGTCACTTAAAACAATACTCACTCATTATGTCAGACTCAATTCATGGATTAGAACTCTAAATTTAGGCCAGCTGGGATCTGTGTTCAAGGTCTCACAATACTGCAGTCAAGGTGTCAGCCAGGACATCTAAAAAATCTCTTTGCCATATCACTTAATTAGAGTTGCCAAATTTAATATGTCCCCTAACATTGCACAAAGCATGCTCATACTAAAAAGTTACATTATTTATCCGAAATTCAAGTTTTTCCACCTTGTGTTTTTCTTTGCCAACCCTAAACATAACATAATCACAGAAGTTTTATATCCCATCATCTTTCCCAAAGTGAAAGACAAGTTATAGGTCCTTCCCACTATAAAAGAGAGGGAATCATATAAGGGGAGGTTTATTTGGGGTCAACTTTTAATTCTCCTTACCCACAGCTATGAATTTTTTCCTTTAACTCAGTAAGTGATTACACCTCCTCCAGGAGAGATTATGTCTATAGCAATATGGTTTTAGCATACACATTTTCAAAATGCATTTCCACTTTTCCCCATGTCTAGAAGGTTATTTCTTTTCTGGAAAGAGTGGACAACTCCTAGTCATTCTTCATATTTCAGCCAGAAATTTGCCTCTTTTTCAGACATATTCCTGACCCTTCTCTCTGCTCAATCTTATTCCTGCCCTTTCCTCTAAGTTCTTCCTCTGTACTTCCCAAACACTCCTGTATGTAAATGTTTTGCAGTAATACTCTGATCTTTGTGACCTATGGTTGTTCATGCAGTTCCCACATTTTGGAAAGCAAGGATGAAATATTTTAGTTCTCAGTTGGTAGCACATAATAAAAAGTGTAGTTTTAATAGGTGCCCAATAAACCTTTCCTACAGGAATTCATCTACTTCATAAGTGGTGGTTTTGTGTTTTCAAGAATGGCAATCGATCCATCTACCCCTTTTTACTCTTCTTCTTCCCGAGATTGTAATTTCTTTCCAAATTCAAGGAAATCTAGGAGCACTGAATTTATTTGACCATGGGTGGCTAAATTTGACTCCTGAGGTCTGACAATCTTCATAGATCCCACATGATGATTAGATTTCTACAAACGTATTATTATTCGCCTCTCCTTTTACAAATAGAAACATAAGAGATTCTGTTCCGTATTTCCCCAATATCATCATCACCACTTTTACAATCAGGCTTCAAAGCTGAAATTCATTTATAACCTATAGTGTCCTAGAATAGGGTTCAGACAAAAATAAATGTATTTATAAGATCAGGTAATTTTATCCCTTTCTCTGAATTTGTAACTTATGCAAAAAATAACTCTTATAGTGAGTGAGCACACCTAGGTTTAAAAACAGCCAATAACAGAGCACCTGATGAGGAATTCATTCCTGTTCCAGTTGGTGTCTCATATTAAAAAGAGCTCTTGTGTTGAGGAATTTATGGGTCATTACTCTACGTTCCTATCAACCTCATTAGTGCCTCTACAGAGATAAAGGACTCACCTGCAATACTAGTCTCACTAATTTTGTGACACCATTCTTTAAGTTATATAACTATACATCCCACTCTAAATTCCCCACAGTTCCAATTGCTAATCAGAAGGGAAGCCAGACACATACAATAGAGTATGAGCAGCTAAGTAGTATCCCCTCCAATCTCTGAGGAGGTTATAGAAATATTAAGACAGAAAAAATAAGTCAATAACATGTCTGAAACAAAATTACAAAAACTTGTTAGGACCAGCGAACCATGTTTATTTGGAAACATACACAATATAGAAACCTGGAAGAGAACAAGGCAGTGGATTTACACTTGTATTCTGAGATAAATGAGATCTTCTGTCTTCCAGAAACATCATGGGTAACTCAGTTGCCCGCAATGGCAAGGAGGATGCCAGAAAGACAACTAGTTTCTGCAGTCTTGTCGTCCTCTATTGAGGGGAATCTGATGGGATTATGAGACATTGAAACTGAAATAGCCTTGAAATGGTCCTTTAAGAAGAAAAGGTGCACTGCAGTTATGTTCTAGCAGCAAGAATAACATCTTCTATAGCAAAATGGCTGGTAACCACAGCAGCCAGAGCCAGAGCCGTATCCACAGCCATATCCACAGCCATAACTGGAGCCGTATCCAGAGCCATATCCACAGCCATAGCCAGAGCCATAGCCACAGCCATAGCCGGAGCCATATCCACAGCCATAGCCACAGCCATAGCCGGAGCCATATCCACAGCCATATCCACAGCCATAGCCGGAGCCGTATCCAGAGCCATATCCACAGCCATATCCAGAGCCGTATCTGCAGCCATAGCCAGAACCATAGCCACAGCCATAGCCACAGCTACCACATGAGTTTCTGTAGTAGTTGCAACACATAATATCTAGAGTTGTGTTTTTAGTAGTTCAGGTGGGAGATTTTGAAATCTGAATGTCTTCTCCTGCCCTGAGACCTTTATATACCACCAGAAATGGGTGGAGCACAGAACACAGACTCTGTTGCTCATTACCACAGCAATTTGCTTGTTAACAAGCTCATCATTCTAAGGACAAGTTTTCTGGGTAATTATTTACAGGATTTGGCCCTAGCCAGTCATGAGAACTATATGAAAACAGATGTAGCCTACACAGTGGACAAGTATGCTTCTTTTGAGTCTTAACATAAAAAATGTAAAGTAGGATGTTGTGTTTTTTATTATTTTTGCTGTTTCATTGATTAAGTTAAATTGTGTTAAGTTTAAGGTATGCAATGCAATGATTCGATATACACATACTACATAATATTGTGAAATTATTCTCACAATCAAGTTAGTTAAAACATTTGTCACTCTATCTAATTAGCATTTTTGTTGTTTTTTTTGTTTTGTGGTGAGAACAATTAAGATCTATTAGCAAATTTCCAGTATGCAATATGGCATTGTTAACTCTAGTTACCATACTGTACGTGAGTTCTCCAGAACTTATTCACCTTACAACTGAAGGTTTATAGGGTTTGACCATCTCCCCATTTCTCCTACTCTGCAGCCCCAAATGACCACCATTGTACTCTCTTTACCTATGAGTTTGACTTTCTTAGATTCCAGGTAAGCACCATATAGTATGTGCCTTTCTCAGTGCCTTATTTCACTTAGCAAAATGCTCTCCAGATCTATCCACATAGTTGTAAATGGCAGGATTTCTTTCTTATAATGGCTTAGTAATATTCCATTGTATGTATACATGCACACACACATACACATATTACACATATATACGGAGTGTCCATAAAATAGTTGACTATTTTAAATTGCACAGGAACTTTATGGACACCCTGTGCATATGTACACATATACCATAATTTCTTTTATTTATTCATTCATCACGCACTTAGGTTTTTTCCATGTCTTGATTATTGTGCCCAGTGAAAGTAGACATGCATATAGCTGTTTGAACTACTGATTTTATTTCCTTCAGCTATAAACCAGAAGCAAGATCACTAAATCATGTAGAGGTTCTAATTTTAATTTCTAAGTCTATATTGTTTGCCATGTAGCAGGATGAATTTAGATTCCTACTAGCAGTGCCCAAGTACTCTTTTATCCATGTCCTTACCAACACTTGTTATTTCTTGTCTTTTTGACAATAGCCACTGTAACAGGTGTGAGATGACATTTCATTGTAATTTTTGTTTGCATTTCCATGATCACCGGTGATGTTAAGCACCTTTTCATGTACCTGTGGTCTTTGTTTTTATACACATATCACAGATAAAAGAACAGAAACCAAGGTAATTAACTCTCAGCAGTTCAGTGGGCTCTCAGCTGTTCCGTGGTAGCATCAAATTGGTTTTACACCTATTATAACATCAAAGCTACAGCAGGACCTATAAATCATTTTTTCTTTCAGTTTTTCAAATGCAAAATATTTACTTCATTTACTAAAATTGTCACTGTTTTGCAACTTCTGACTTAGGTGTCTATCATCTGAATTTTCTTTCTCTGTAATCTTTGCCATGCTAGGTAAAACATCATGTAAACATCAAGCAGAAAATTCAACCACCTTTCACACTTGCTCCATAATTCTGCACCATGTGGTCATATTGGAGCTGCTCTTCTCATGCTTCAGCTTTCTCTATTGTCTGAGTACAGTCTTATGACCACTCTTCAAGTTAATTTTAGAAACTTTATCATTTGAGTAGAAATGGTGATAACTTTTCTAGACATCTTAAATTGTAGTCAATACAGGGGGAAAGCACTATAGATAAGAAACTTCCATTTCAAAGTAAACATCTTAGTTTGTAGGTTTGACTTTTAATTATGATTGCCCTAATCTTATCATTCTTTCCACTAAAACTCAATATTCAATATTGGCTCCACTTCTCCAAACTCCATGGCCCCTTTCCACATTAACATGTCACCTGATTTCCTCTCAAAGTAGTTTTAGCATGACAATATTTACCTACATGGATCTGTTGATAGTTTCTCTAGAAAACAACTCAACAGTATTATTTGATTTTACAAGAATTTTTGAAGACCTATGTCATTAAAGCACTATTCTGGGCCACAGAAACTATTTAGGGAGACAAAATTAGCATTTCCTTTGGACTAACCTCTGTTGATACAAAAAAAAGACTAGAATATCTGCTATCTTTGCATTTCCTTATCTGTTCTAATTGGAGTAAGATAGTATCTCACTGCGGTTTTGATTTGCATTTTTCTGATCATGAGCGATATTGAGCATTTTTTCTTGTATCTTGGCCATTTGTATGTCTTCTTTTGAAAAAAAGTGCCTGTTCATGTCATTTCTCACTTTTTAATGCATTGTTTGTTTTTTTTTCTTGGTGAGTTCCTTGTAGATTTTGCATATTTTGCTAAAGAAGATTTTTAACTTAAATAAGTTTCATTTATTTTTGCCATCAGTTAATTAACTTTGGGAGTTTTAGTCATGAATTCTTTGTCCAAGCCAACGTCCAGAAGAGTTTTTCCTAGGTTTTTGTTTAGAATTTTTATTTTTTCAGGTCTCACATTTAAATCTTTAATCTATCTGGAGTTGAGTTTTGCATATCATGAGAAAAAGAGATCCAGCATTATTCTTCTGCATGTGGCAAACCAATTTTCCCACCACCATTCATTGAGTAAGATGTCCTTTTCCCAGTGTATGCTTTTGTCTGATTTGTGGAAGATCAATTGGTTGTAGGTATATGGCTTTATTTCTGGGCTTTCTACTCTGTTCCACTAATCTATTTGTCCAGTTTTGTGCCCCACCATACTGTTTGGGTTACTATAGACATGTAAAATAATTGGAATTTAGGTAATGTGATGCCTCCAATTTTATCCTTTTTTTTTTTTTTGGAAATCCTATCAGACTAACAACAGATTTCTCAGCAGAAACCTATACCAACCAGAAAGGATTTATGTCCTACTATTTTTAGTTGTTTTTGTTTGTTTGTTTGTTTTGTTTGTTTGTTTTTGGCCAGGGCTGGGTTTGAACCTGCCACCTCCAACATATGGGGCCAGCGCCCTACTCCTTTGAGCCACAGGCACTGCCCTATTTTTAGTCTTCTTAAGTAGAATAACTGTCAATCAATAATTTTGTATTCTGCAAAGCTAAGTTTCATAAATGAAGGAGAAATAAAGTCTTTCCCCAACAAGAAAACACTAAGGGAGTTTGTCACTATTAGACTGGCTCTCCAAGAAATGCTCAAAGAAGTTCTAAACATTGAATCGAAAGGTTGATACTTGTCAGGATAAATACCCTTGAAAGTATAAAACTCACAGGGCTCATAAACAGTATTTGAAAATACAAAGCAACTAGTCAACAACATGATGACTGGAACATAACTTTGAATATAAATGATTTGAATGTTTTTTCTTAAAGGCAAGACCCCACCTCTACTTAAAAAGAAAAAAAAGTAGAAAAACTAGCCAAGCATTGTGGTAAACACCTATAGTCCCAGCTAACTAAGAGGCTGAGGCAAGAGGATTGCTCAAGCCTAAGAGTTTGAGGTTGCTGTGAGCTATGATGCCATGGCACTGTACCCAGTGTGACATAGAATATGTAAAAAAAAAAAAAAAAAAAGATATATATAGAGGGAGTAGTAGAATGAATAGAAAAACACAATCCAAATATCTGCTGCCTTCAAGAGACTTTTTATTATATTGTGATTGATTTCTAATGTGTATTTTATGCTTAAAGCACTTTTCATTTTGGACTAGCCACATTTCAAGAGCCCCATACCCTTATCTTGCGAGTGGCTGCCATATTGGACAATGAAACTTGCTCAAGAGACTGGAGAATTCCTCTGTGAATGTGGCCACAGATTAAAATTCTGTAATTTTCAGCAATATGGGTGAAATTAAAGGCCACTATATTAAATGAAATAAGCCAAGCACATAAAGACAAATACTGCAGTTTCTCATTAATATGTGAAAGTTAAAAAAGTAGATCTCATGAATATAGAGAGTATATTGGTAGTTGCCAGAGGCCAAGAAAAGGGGACGAGAGAGAGAAAATAAAGGGGGAAGAACAAATATAAATGTATTTATTATCATTGAATTGTACACTTAAAATAGTAAAGATGGTAAATTTTATATATATATATACACATGTATATTGTTAATAAGAAAATTTCCCAGTAGAGCTTACTACTCTAGCAATAAAATACCAGCTTATTTTCTCCTTTCCCTAAGTTCCTTTTCCTTGAATTCTATTTTCTCCTCTTATGTAACTGACCAATTCTATCTCTTCCTTTATGGCTCTGCTCATATATCACTCTCTTTTGGAAGCAATTTCAGAGCCTTGTCTAGCCTTCCTTTCCACATTCTGACTGATTTAGGGTTCTTCCTTGAGTTCTTCTTCGTAGCCCCATCATACCTGCAAGCATACCTGCTTTCATATGAATGTATGATTTACGATTTTGTGTCCCACTGAAGATTTTGAATTCTTAGAAGAAGAGACCACATTTTTTATCTCTGTCTCCCCAGACCAATCAAAACACATAGCTGGAGCATGAATATTCAGATTTTTTAAATGACTACAGAATAAATAAGTGATTTTACAATTTATAGCCTCTTTAAGGTATAATAACTCATCAAATAAAAGAATTTTATGTTTATTTATAAAGGAAATTTGAAGCTTAAGTCATTTACTGAATGCAAAAAGGTCTTCCCTTTCATCCAGAATGTGATTAATACATTAAGGCAAATATTCATTTTTTTCACCAGACTCATGCTACACATGGACATACACACACACACACACACGTAAGCCTTTTCTAATTTTATCATCAGTGTCTCTATTAACATTATCACCAATTTTTTTTTTCATTTCACATAAGCTGAAAGTCTCAAAATTTTCCTTGACTAAGGAAGTCACAACATTTCATGTTTCAAAGATATGTTTGTAAGGAATATTTCTGGGATGTATAAATTATTTTATACATGCTTAATCAAGGATATCTTTCCTTGTTTCAGAATGCCTTCAATGACAAAAAAAACCATAATGAAACAAAAAGTAATATTTTCAAGAGCCATAATTATTAGAATTACTTTCTGCTGTGTGTCTTACTAACTTTGAAATTGCAGTCTGTCCTCCATTCTCAGTTACAAGTGTTTCAGAAGTACAAACCATCCTGCTTATGAACCTGATCTCCATCAGATGGACAAATTCCACCCTGGACATAGCTGACTTTGGTTGTAGAGCCATCTTCTTTGGAGTTGGACATTTTGTGGGGTGTCCTAGCTCCAGGTGCCTCAGAGAGTCAAACTTTGTGTAATGACCCCTGTAGTGGGACAAGACAGTGACACATCTATTACTGCTGGTTCAGACACTGGTGCTCCTGAATCTAAAAGGCTTTTTCTGTTGCATGATTTAAACAATAGAGTTCCGGATGCTCAAATGAGGACAAAATACTAATGTCAGACCCCCCAAAGTAGTAAACTACTTTAGAAAGTCAGCCAGGCAGCCATACTAGAGTTTTTAATCCCATTTTCATGCCTGCCCCAATCCAAAACAAACTCCATTAAAATATGGGACTTTACTCATTTCCAACTAAAAAACATGGCACCACCTGATCATACCCAAAACTTAACGAACTTTTCCTCCTAGTGTGCACTTGGCACAATCCTTCCTAGTCTTCCTTTGATACTGGTGACTTTTTATTATCAGCTAAAATGTTATCACTTAAAATACCTCTGAGCTGTCTCTCTATACTGCAATCTTGATTCTCCTTGCCTTCAGCTGTTTCTGTAGCAATATAATTATGCAGAATTTATACTTAACTTTTACTTAACTTTTTACCTTCATCTATTGGAATGCAAACAATGGAGAACAGGAAATTTGTCTATACTTTTTTCTACTGTTCCCTGTGCCCTCTGTGTCTAAAATGATACTTAATGCAATATTAAATCACTTTCCTCAACCTCCAAATACACAAATAAATACCTTGCACGTCCATCAAATGCACATAACATGATAGTATATTTTTCATCTAACTCATCCTTTCCTTAATTTTTTTCTTTCTCATGCCTAATATACAAGTCTTACTCTAAATTTTAAATAACCCCAAGATAATTTCTTCTTTTCCATTTCTCCTTTAAGCACTCAGGCTATTTCTTCTTTCCCCGGGCGTTTGTCACAACCTCCCAAGCAGGTGTCCCTCCTCCTCTCTTTTCCCCTCCAGCTTCATTCTGGACCCTCAGTGCCATTTCAAAAGCACAGTTCTGAAATACTTTGTGAGGGCCAGAGCATGGTGGTCTGAGAGGCATTAATGAAGACAGTATTTATGATGCAAGCATAAGAAGGAATACTTGTATTAAAGCCACTAAGTACCTAAGGCTCAGCAAACATGTTATCCCAGTTTCCTGAAGAGTCCAAAACACTTCAAGAATGGAGTAATTCACAAGCAAGTACACAAAGGTTAGTTAAAAGCAAAGATCCATTTTTATTGAAAATAAGTAACTTCCTTCAAATGTTGATGGTATAGTCATTAACACAGTCATACAGAGAATCAGAGATGAAAGAAGTAAAGACGAACATTTGGAAGGATGACAAGATGATACATGGCTCCCAGGGCTACAAAGATTCCACTCTAAGATATTAGATAAGTTCAAGATTTTATCAAGCATGTAACCTTTTGGATATAGAAATCTTGAGACTTGGATCCTTAAATCAACATTATCTTTAGAAGTATCATTTCAGAAGCAAACGGTCCTCTGGAAGTGGATGGTTCAGCAGCAAGAAGAATAGCATCTTCTGTAGCAGAATGGCCTGTAGCCACAGTAGCCAAAGCCAGAGCCATAACCACAGCCATATCCAGACCCGTAGCCACAGCCATAACGGGAACCATAGCCACAGCCGTAGCCAGAGCCGTATCCACAGCCATAGCCGGAGCCGTATCCACAGCCATAGCCGGAGCCGTATCCACAGCCGTAGCCGGAGCCGTATCCACAGCCGTAGCCGGAGCCGTATCCACAGCCGTAGCCACAGGAGCTGCCGTAGTAGTTACAGCACATGTTGTCTGGAGGAGAGAGTTCAGGTGGGTTGCAAGAGGATGTTTCTGAAGTGTAGATGCCTTCTTCCCTGGGACCTTTATATACCATCAGTAATTGCCAGGGCATGCCATTCATTCCGTGACTTAACCAGAAAATATTTAAACAGCTATTATGTGCCAGTCACTGTTGACCATCAATAATGGTGTGCTTAATGTGAGCCAATTATTTTGAAGACTCCAGTTTTATTTAAAGACATCATTTTAATTTGCTTTGGCAAATAATTGTGTCAATAAAATCAGGTGCCTAGAAATAAGACTGATATCTATTTTCAAAACCTCCTATTCCTAACTATATATCTTATGTAATAGGGTTTTGAGGAAATCTAAGAAAATTTTGCCCTTTTTTCCCTCTCCCTTTCCTAAATGTCCACCTCTATCCACAAGGAAGGAAATACTCCTGTCTCCTTGCTGAAGTCATGGCAAGACTTCCCACCGGGCTTCTTTCTCCCACCCACTCTGCAATTCCACACATTCCCCTGGTCCAACCTCCCTTAAATCCCAGGAGACAGATCCACATGTGCTACGCAAAACCAGAGTGTGTACTGCCGAGGGCCTCTCCTTACATTTCCTTCTTCCTGCTGGAAACCAGGCAAGCTGAGACCACGCAAAGGCAGAGCCACCATTTTTCCTTCTCCCATTTTTTGTAGTTGCAGATGTAATTGTCACTGAGGACACCTAAACTGTAACCAGCTTTATTCAGATAAATAAGCCAAAAAAACTCACACCAGAAACTAAGGTATTTTCTCCAATGAAGATTATATCAGTTTTGCATGATGAGATATGGGTGCATTCCTAGAATTTAAAAAACCATTTCTTCTCTTCTCCTTTCACTGCTGCTTCTTGTACATTTAGTTAAGAAGCTAATGGATGGTTTTAGGATGCTGACAGCAAAAGACCACCTTCAGCTCCTAATACTTTCGTGACACAAAGTAGCACAAACATGAGTGCCTGCCCTTTTTTAGATATGCATTTCATGCTACTCATTCAAAGTTCCCCCAATTACCCATTATTATAGGTTGTCAGTCTTCTACAAAAATGTTCATTGTCATCCTGAAATACAGTCTGTTCTCTTTCTGCCCAATAATCCTTGCTATCACGTACCTGTTCAAGGTATAAAAGTGGAAAATGACTGTCATTGCTTCTGCCATTGTGCTAAAATATCTTCTACTTATACATCAAAACTCAGATCTGGAATCTCTTCCTATAGGATGGCATTCTTCACTGCGACTGGATTATGTGATCTCTCCTGTTTGCTCCTATGTACAGGCAAAAACTTATGATAGATGTACCAGGCTTTGTTAGAACTCTATCTTATTAACTAATTATGGTATTCTTGAGGAAAGAGATTATAGCTTCCACATTAGACATTCTAAGTGGAGCTAGTTGTTCAGTCCACATTTTATATAGCAGAAACTTATGGGTCAACGGGGGTTAAAGAATTCAGTTGAAGCCACCATTGAAAGACGTGACTTCAGCAAGTTATGTTGATGTCACACTGAGAATTCTTTATATTGAGGCTTAAAATATAGTCAGGATTAAGGAAATAGGAATTTCCTGCAGGAAAAATTTCTATAATATTCCAAAAATATCTAGCATGTATATGTATAGCTCCATCTCTACTTTCTCTATATTTTTTAAAATTTTACCTTTATAGTCCCAACTAAGCCATGGTCATTCATTGTGCAAGAGGTTACTTATATTTAGTCCTTGGACTTGTTATGTATCTGTTTTATATAGGTATATACAAAACCATATACAAGGTCAGACAGTTAAGCTCACGAACTCATCCTAGAAAAAATGCTCCATATCTCATTACTGAACATCACTGTGGTCACCTTTGAGCTATTCCCTTGGGAAGCTGTGCACTGATCCACCAGCTGTGACTAGTCCACCCTTCAAAGCACTTTTTATAGGATGAATTTGCGAACTTAATTGTCCAATCTCATACAACAAAAGCTCTGATAGCCGTTCTAGAAAAAGTTTCAAAATTACTTCAAAATAGCATCTTCTGTAGCAGAATGGCCGGTAGCCACAGTAGCCAGAGCCACAGCCATATCCAGATCTGTAGCCACAGCCATAACGGGAGCGATATCCACAGTCATAGCCAGAGCCATATCCATAGCCATAGCCAAGGTTGTGGCTAACCTATAGAAGGGTGGACTAGGGACTGGCATCAGTGTATAGCTTCCCAAGGGGAGTACCTCCAAGCTGACTGCAGTGAGGTATGTAGCACTTTTTCTTAGATGAGTTTGCAAACTTAATTGTCAACCTCATATATTTTACCATCTATTACTATGTTCCTCAATTGCAAAATTATATAAGCAATGAAACTTAGCTCTCTATTCATAGGCTACAGAATATCCTACTATACTAAAAGTAACTTGAAAAAGAAAAGAATTCATGGGGAAAACATATTTTTCCATGAACTTTAACTTCAAATTACTAACAATAAAGGACTAAAATCTTATCCACATCATTTACACAGATAAAGAGGAGTTCGACATCATTTATTATAATTTTCTCACACTTTATCTTGACTTGTGTTTTCTGCAATAATCCAGGGGGGTTAGATTAGTGGGAAATGAGTGCACAGGCACATGCTCCAGGTTGTGGATATGTGAGGAAAGATCCCAGACTTAGCAGAAATGAAGTGCTGTGTGGAACCTGGCAGCTTCCCTTGCCTGGCTTGTCCCTCTTTCTCTGTTCTTCCCTGGGGGACACAGCAGCCAGTAACAGTCTTTGTGCAATAAAGTCCTGTTAAAATCAACTAAATGAGCAAATCCCTGTTCTATTGATTATTTTTCACTTCCATGTACATGACCATATTGAGAAACTTAAACACTATAAACATTCATTTAAGAGAATAAACACAAAAAAGTGATTGTTAAAGCGAACTTAGATATAAATGGGATAGAGAAACAATGTCAGGGCCCCCAGTGCCCTGGGCTCCCTAATCAATATCACCTCTTAGGTTCCACCTTTATTCCTAAATTTTACTCCTGGAGTTCTAATTCAAAAAACAGAACCACAAATTCATTTTTCCCCTTCTTTTCTAACTAAAATACATTTAATTTTCACTCCCTTACAAAGAATCTGTGATTATTTTACATTAGGTTTTTCTGATCTCCGGATATAGTTTTAAAATTACAATACTGTTACATGTTTTTATTGCCTGCTTGATGCACTGGTCTTCCCTTGAACAACCCAGCAAATTCACAGAAACTAACTAAGCTTATACCCCAGGGAAGAGGCCCTGCGAACTGGAAATTTGCAAAGATAGACATTGCGTGGTTCTTGTCTCGAGATCAAGCTTCTGCACAAGTAAAGTGGCTCCCCCGAGAGACAGAGATTTCCTCTCAGACCTATCCTACCTTCTTACTGGCTGTACTATAAGGTTCATCTTCTTTTCAAACTACAAATAGAGTACAAACAGTGGAGCAGTTGGCACATTCCTATCAGTGGTTCTCAGTGATGGATGTTTTTGCTCTCTTGGAGATATGCATTGTTGCCAGTGTCCAATCACATTTTCAGGAGTCACAGCTTGGGGAAAATGGAGATGTTACAGGTGTGTAGTAGTAGCAACCAGGGATGTTGCTAATCCTACAAGGTGCAAAGCAGCCCCAACAACAAAAAGGCAAGTGGTCTACTGTCGATAGTGCTGAGATCTGGTAACTGATGACAGCTGTGAAAACAGGCTTCTATATCTACAGGCATTTAATCCAAACAAACCAAGCATCCATATCTGTAGGTTTTCCATCCAACCTAACTCCTTCTTCTTACTTTATACCCAATGTCTGACCTTTCTATCACCAAAAATGCAGTTGAAAAGGGACTTTTTTTAAAGTTTGTTTCTTATTTGTTTGCTTTTATTGATCCTCCTTGTCTAGGTTTCATTTAACTCATCATTTCCAGAGTCAGGCAGACGCCACAAACTTTTGAATGATTTGTTTTTTTTTCTGTAACAGCCATAAAATACAAGTCAAAAGACAATATAAACTCAGGAAGATCATTTCGTCTACTGGATACTTGAATTTTGACACCAAAGGATCAAGTGGTGATCCAGTACTTTATTAAAAGCCTTCAAGAGGGATTTTCACAAAGCTGCCAATTTCATTTTCCAATAATCTTTGTTATTAGACATCCTTCCTTCAGTTGAGACAGCTTCCTATTTTTTTCTGACATTGGTCACTGGTCTTATCTGATTACTCTGCCATGTTTATTCCTAAAGATAAGCAGAAAAAAAAAAATACTCCATTGCAATTCTTTTCTTTTCCTTCAGTTATTTTCCTTTTCTATCATCCTTGAAATTCAAAACCCTAAATTTTACTTCCCAAATTCCCTGGAATAGATACCTTCTTTTTCAGTCCCACTGCCAACACCTGCTTCCAGGACATAATACCTTTGGATGACTGGCAAGGCCTTCTGTCTAGATTACATTATCTCTAATATCTTTCCATTCCCATCTCTGGCTACTGGTCCATAAAGGCAGAAATAATCTCTAGTCTGTGCTTCACTGAATAACCTTCTCTGAATATATACCTGACATATAATTTACACTCAATTAATATTTTTCTAATAAAAAATAGATAAGTTGAACATTTGTTCCTATGTTGAGATATGCTTATAAACTGTAAGATATTTGGATATATGCTTAAATTCTCCAAACACCAGGTTTTTTCCTTCTAAAGTGTGATCTAAGCATTTTTTACATTATCCTTTTTATGTGTTTTGTGCAGTGCTTTGGGGCAGGAACCGTACGGAGTAAGTGTTACTCCCTTGATTCCATGTTGCCCACACCCTAGTTTTAAATTCTCATCTAATAATACTTTTTTAAATATTCACATTTATTTGTGTGAAATGCTGATTTTCGTCAGAATTTAACTTAATAACTTTGCAGTCCAAAGGAAGTTGTTCTATGGCATACACATGTGCTCTAATTAGAAACTTTTTATGGTAAAGAAG